ATATAGACAGCAGAGGTGTCCTATTAGCAGATGGTGGTATACACATTCAGAGGACCTCCACCTCCAACCCCAGTGTTCATGCAGTGATCAGAAAGATTGCCACATAGGAATCATCAGTCCCATTCACTGTATCATTCTTACTTTAGCCTCTAAACAAAGGCCTCCAAATACTGCATCCCTTAGTTTGAGAGACCTAATGAAGTCACACATACCAAGATAGTAAGGATTCAGTCTTACCCACTGTCACGGAGCGGGACCTAGGGGCGGCCGTGATCCCTCTAGCGCCCCCTGCCGTGCCAAGTAGGCATTTCAACACCCTCTATCTTACCTGCCACGTCTTGGTTTTATGAAGTTCAGTAATGGAGGCTGCCTTCTGTCCTCTTGGACATGGTGCTATGACTATTTGGCCTCCTACTCTGGACAGGGTGACCTGGTACACCCCCAGCCTTATTGGCTATGTGTGCCTGCTACCTCCCCTTTAGCACACCCCAAGCCTTGCAGCTGTCCCGGATGATGTTGGGTCACTCTCTCTCTTTCGGCACCTTGCCTAGCGCCCCTGGGCTTGTCATGCAACCAGCGCCCCTTTTCTGGGAGCCCTGGGCTTGTCACGCAACCAGCGCCCCTCTATTTTATAGCCCTCTTGGGCTTACTAATGGTGTTCTTCCCCACCGGGCTCGGCGGCCTAAGCCTTGCCTGGCCTCTCTGGGTCCTTGTCAATAAGGAGTGTCCAACCAGGCTCAGGAGGCTTAAGCCTTACCTGGCCCCTCTGGGTCCCTGTCAGTAATGGGCTGCCTGAGCCCAGCTGGATACCTAAGCCTTACCTGGCCCCTTTGGCCCCTCGGGGTTCCCCCTACAGTGGAGCCCCTCCAGGACTCTTTCCCATCTGCACCCCTCTTGGGGTGACTGTCATGAATACGTGCCCCCTCCTGGGGCTTTTCCTATATGTGCCCTCTCCTGGGCTTATCCCTAGCACATGCCCGTTCCTGCGGTTTCACTCTGCCTTCTCCAGGCTCTCTATACTAATGGAATTGCCCTCACTGGGCTTGTTTCCCTAATAGCACCCCCCTGGGCTTCCACTCATGTGGCCCCCCCCACTCAGGGCCAAACATGAGGCCCCCCACAGGCTTCGCACTGGTGCTCCGTAAGTGGGGCTCAGGTGGCCGAAGCCGTGCCTGGCCCCCTGACCCTTTGTCGGGACCCTCTGCCCTGCTCGGGCCTCTCAACTACCGCCCATACTGGGCTACCCGCTGTGCCACCTCAGCGCCAAACAACCGTGCCTTTCCAGGCACCACCCACGTGTGCCCACACAGGGCACCAGGAACCCCCAGTCTACTGGGGAGCTCCTGTGAGGCCTCCTCACACTCCTACAGCCTCACCCGGTCCTGCGGTCTATTTACACAACTAACATAACAGAACCATAAGCCAAACGGCTATAACGCACACTCCAGTCCCACAGGCTTCTCCTGCCCAGCCTCCCGGTCAGGGTTCTCTCTACCCTGTAACATGATGCAGCTGCTTGGTCTATCAGTCCGCTCAACCCAGCTTGACTCTGCTGCAGAGCTCTTGCTCCTCTGGCAGCCAGAAGGTAACTACTAGCTAGACTCTGGCCTGGGCTGTTTATAAAGGCCAGGCCCTGCCCCTTTCTGGCCATGTGACCTGCTCCGGTTGCCCCGGCAACCAGCACCTGAGCTGCCCTGGCAATTAGCAGATGCCCTAATTCCTACTTAGGAACAGGGCACCCGAGTGCCCCCGTGACACCCACCATATCAGATCACTTCCCTATACTCCCTGGTCTTCTACTTGGTATGCTTGTCTGCTGTTTTTTGTCCTCCTCCCTTTGTAGGGAGTAAACATTACCTCCCCTACATCTTTCTCATGTTGTAGTAATGAATTCTTTGTTAATGAATTCTTCGCTATCTCCTGAGAGTGCCAGCTCTCACTTTTGCATTGCAACTGAAGTAAACTGGAATTTGTACTTTTGTGAAGGTCAGTTGTAGTGCAAATGAATAGGAAAGAAGGGCTGGAATGGTAATGAATATCAGATATAGGCTGGCAATACAAATGTGAATGCTGACCAGAGTATTTCATGGCTGTCAGCATGTTGTATTGCTTGTTACAATGGACAATGTGATGATGGGTGATGCCCACTTAAAAGGTTCCAATCAATGAGAGGAAGCTTGCCTCTGTAACAGAAAATCCTTAATGTCTGCCAGGGAAGGAAGCATATAGCTATTTAAAAAATCTTTGCTAGCCAATTCTTAGGAAATTCCTTGTTGCCTATCATGATTCACCAATCCACTGGAGAGGCAGAGAAATAATCTGGTGATATTTCAAATATTATGAAACTGTTATGTTTTGTCTAGCTGATGGCTAAGTGCAGGTTTATCCTCTGTAGTCTTGGTTTCTTTGCTCCACCAGTTTTAAATTATTCTGATGACAAGGCTTCTATGCCTTATTTTGGGTAGATTAATTCACAGTCTAATCTGAGATTGAGAATTACATTAATCAGGGACTTGGTGCTAAATTCAGTCTTGGACCAAAAGAAAAAGTATTGCTTTATGAGGGATCAGTGACAGATTCAAGTTTTAATGGCTGTCTTGGAAGCCATGAGAAACTACTAGCTTCCTAAATGGTATACAGCATTAATTTTTAGTACTGGTAGCTTGCAAGAGATCAAACCTTTGAAACCAGCTCATTCTAAGTAATATTTTTCTTTTTTATTTCCCTGTTTGAATTCTCATGCCATTTCAGCAGTTAGTCTTTTGAAACAAGAGAAAACAATACTTCCTTCCATAAAATGCTATAAGGCAATAACTTCTATCACATGCTTTCAGCTACTAAATTTTTGTAGAAATTGGAAAGAAAAGGAAGAAGGATGGTAATCAGAAGGATGTTGTTTTAAAGTTATGTGCTTAACAACCTCCAGAATTAGAAAATATTTGCTTGGCTAATACAAAGTATTTTCAGGATTAATAGAGAAAAATCAAATGTAAATAAACAAAACAGAAGGGAAGAAAGAAAGAAAGGAGGAATTATGACCTTACTAATTTTATTTTTGTTTCACAGACACTTCCTCATATTTATTTTCCTTTGCTCAATGCTGCACTACAATCCCTATTTACAAAATATTGTAGAAATCATGTATTATAAGCCCAGCCTCACTACCTTCAGGTATGTGTAGACAACTGTCAAATCCCATTTTTAGTCTCACGCCTCTCCTTTATTTTTCTTGTTAAAGAAAAATTTTAAAATAGAAGTTCATTAATTAAATTGCCCTGTCTATGTATGAATGGTCCTATTAATTACTCTCTACTATTTCATTCCCTGTGTACTCATGACTAATCTTATTCTTTTGGATACAGTAAATCAGTTTCCATTGCAATGAAATAAAGTGGTAATGTGCCTTCCATCTGCCCCATATAGTTTTCAATATGTCATTTTTCACTGAAAACCCTAACAAAAACTAATCTTATAATTAAAACAGAGTTTGTTTTTGACCAGCGTGTATGCTGAAATAGGAGATTTGCTTAAGATTATTTGTCTGCATAGCATAGGTACCAAATAACCATAAAACTCCCCTTTCTTAAATTTATCCATAACATGTAATTCTCTGGCCTTCTATCCATGTAATTCAATGGCCACAACAAGGATTAGGATTGTGGCTCTCCTGCCATCTGCCCCCTGGCACACCAACATCTTACAAGCTGAGGTTGCAGATGTTTTTGTCACTCTGCCCAAAAATGTTGCCAGCCCCTGGTCTAGCCATTTTCATTTCTCTTGATTTATGGCTTTCTCCATTAGACAGTGGTTTTCAGCCTGTCATCTGTGGATCCTGTGGGGGGGGTCCATGAAACAAAGCTATGATCAATCAAAAGTATGTGAGTACTCACAATTTGAAGGGGTCTGCACTTCCATCTGAAATTTCCAAAGGGGTCCACACCTCCAGTCAAAATATTTTAGGGGTCCACAAATGAAAAAAGGTTAAAAACCACTGCATTAAACTTTCTGCAGGTGAAGTGAAGAATGATGAAGGGTGCTTGAAATGACAGTGTGTATTTTTTTCATATAACAGTCCTGAATTTCCTCTTCCATCTGCATCACTTCATAGAAGTCAGTAGCATATAGTAGTGAAAATGTGCAAAGCTGGTGTAAGAGAGAGAAGTAACAGATCCAATGTCATAGCATTTTCTGGTTCATTTCCTTTCTCCATTTTAATGCAGAAAGCATCCTCTATGTGCGTGTGCCTTCTGCTGCATGCTGGAAAGATAACTTAATTGAACTATCCACAACGTCTACTTATTATTTTAGCAATATAGCTCAACTTGCTGTCTAATTCTGTCTTTCTTGGTATTTCTAAAGTACTGATCGCCTTTACTCAAACATGTGTATTCACCTCAAAACAACTATTACATGCCAGTCATACCAGGACCAATCTCTTATCCCCAAAATATGTATTAAGGTTATTCTCCATCAGATATCCATCAGTTACTTGTCCACTGAGACAATTTACAGAAGAAAAGTGATGCTACGACTGTGCCTAAGGATTACCTGGATCACAGCCTAATGTACCTTATTTATGTACATACCACACTCACTGTGCAAAGAAATATGGTAATGTTCATTATCCCTTTTTTATGG